CTTTTCTGACCCTTCTGCCCTCGGAAGACCCGGTCATCCTTAGCAAGCAGTCTGAAATGCCCCTGCTAGCCGTCATTAGCCCAGTAACACCATCCCTGTTTCTTCTCTGCTGATTCTGCTGGTTAAGAGTTCAGGGCCTTTTAAAATCCCCTTATTTGTTTGGTCAGTGATGGTGGTGTTGGGATCGATGTATCCATGCACTGGGGTCTCCGTCAGTGGCTGTGTTGATGATGTCCCGGTCTCACTGTGTGGGTGTGCTCCTGGTGACCCCACCTCCCCCCCCATCGTGGTTTTTCGCAGCACTGCGAGAGGCAGGTCCGTGCCTTACAGAACAAGGCCCTTCAGTTCCAGCAGCAGCTGGCCCTGGCCACATCCGCCGACAGGAAGAAGAATGTCATGATTGAGCAGCTAGACAAGGTGGGCAGCTGCACACAGTCTATCGGCACACGCAAACCGCTCAGACGCACACCCAGACGGACACAACGAATCGGCTCTCACAAACGTTCGGATGCACTCAGCGAATCGGCACACACAAATGACCAGATGCATACAGCCAATTGGCACGCACAGATGCCCACAAGTATGCAGTGAATCGGCATGCACAAACACCCGGACGCAAACAGTCAATTGGTACGCATAAATGCCCAGAAGCACACGGCCAATCAGCACTCACAAAAGCCCAGACGCACACAACCAATCGGCACACACAAACACTCAGAAGCACACAGCCAATCGGCACACACAAACACTCAGAAGCACACAGCCAATCGGCACACACAAACACCCAAACACACACAGAGAATTGGCATGCACTAGCATCCAGATGCTGCAGCTCTGTACACTCTACACCAGGGGTGGGCAATCTTATCTGCAAAGGGCCAGTGTGTATCCAGCTGTCCAAACCCAGGTGTGAGTGACAATCAGTTGTCAATTATTAACCTAATTAGGGAATTGCAGTGAAATCCTGCACACACAATGGCCCATTCTGGGTAAGATTGGCCAGCACTGCTCTACACACTCTGCATGCTACAATGGCAGTGTGAAACACGCCTGCCCCCCCCCACACCCAGACTCTGGCCAAAATGGTGGCGGGCTGGAGGAGACACGAGCAGGAGCAGAGTGAGAGAATTGGGAGGCTGCATGAGGAGAAGGAGGCGGCACAGAAGACCCAGGCCAAGCAGCAGGAGGTCAGCGAGCACTTGCACTACATCTGTATTGTGTCTGTCTGTCTGCATGTGTCTGCTTGAATGTCTGCGTCTGCTTGTCTGCAAGCATTTGAGTGTGTCTGTCTGTCTGGATATGTCTCTGTGCCTCTCTGTGTCTGCATGCATCTGCACTTGTCTCCATCTTCTCTAACCCATCTGCCTGTATCGCTGCAAGACTGCATAATGTCTTCACCCGTCTGCATCTGTGCCTCTCTGCATGCATTTTTGCATGTCTGCCTGTGTGCATATGACTCTGTGTTTGCCTGTGTCTAGATGTCTGCACCTGTCTACATCTGAGGTTGCCTGTCTGCCCGCCTGCATCTGTCTCTCTGCGTATGCCTGTCTCCGTTTGTCTGTCTGCCTGTTACTGTGAGCTACACTTTTGACCTCTCTGTATCCCGTGGCCATCTGCTCTTGATAAGGCTCCACAAATGCAGCTGTGCAGACCGTGCATGTGTACACATCTCTGCAGGCATCTCTGCGCTTGGAGCAGTCCCTCTCCCAGGCTGTCGAGACGATGGACAGGGAGCAGAAGCACGGAGAGGAGCTGAGGAGCACCAACCAGCTGTTGGTACATGTCCCTCAGACACACACACAGACACACACACACACGCGCACCTCACACATCACGCTTAGAGTAACCCTCCCTGCAGGAGCGGCAGCTGGCTGACCTCCGCGCACGGCTGGAGGAGCAGGGCCGGAGGAGGGAACGTGAGCTGGAGGAGGCGCGCAGGGAGGTCCAGGAAACGCATAGCACTTTGTCCCAGCACAGGGAGGCCTGGAGCAGTAGGGAGAGGGAGCTGGAGGAGCGGCTGGTGCTGCAGGCTGCTGAGTTGGACAGGGAGAAGGTGAGGAGTGGGGGCTGGGGGGCTGGTGCGGCAGGGGGGTGTGCGGGGGACTGGAGGGGCCCAATCTCAACTCTGACCCCTCCCCCTCAGGCTGGCCGAGAGCATGAGACCCAGCAGCTGAAGGAGGCTCAGCAGGAGCTGCGGGCGGCCCAAGCCAGGCTGCAACAGCTAGACGGGGAGCTGGAGGAGGCGCGCAGGGAGAGGGACGCGGCACGGATGGACAGAGCACTGGAGCAGGTCAGCTGGGAACGTGTGTGTGTGTGTGTGTGGGTGCGGGGGGTGTGTGGGGTTATCCTGAAGCTAATGGCAGCCGTCTGTGTGCCCCGCCGGGTCTCAGGCTCGCTCCGAGGCCCAGCGCTCCCACCTGGAGGTGGAGCTGAAGCTCTCGCTGGAGCAGCAGGTGACAGAGCGGCTGATAGCCCTACAGAAGGAGAACGAGGAGAGCACGGCCTCGCTGAGGGAGCAGCACAGGTATACCTGTGCCTTCCAGGGTGACTCTGGCTGTTCCAGGGTGACTCTGGCCCTGCTGATGTTCAGCAGCGGGCCGGCTGCAGGTGGGTGACCTCCGCAGCGGGGGCTTGTAGTCCTGGTTAACATCTCCCTGTCCTCCGGCTGCCCTCGTCACTCAGGAAGCAGCTGCTGGACCTCGGTGCCCATCAGGAGAGGGAGCTGTCCAAACAGATGGCCGAGTTCAGGGCCGAGCTGCAGGGGCGTGACGACCGACACCGGCGGCTCGCTGAAGATTATGAGAGGAGGTGGGGCTGCTCGGGAGACCTCTCAGCTGCATGGCGGGGGGGGGGGGGGGTTGTTGTTAAAGCCACTTCCTACTGGCCCCTCCTCTGCCCACCTCCAGGCTGACCCTAAAGCAGGAGGAGGTGCAGAGTTTGGAGAGCAGCAAGAGGAAGCTGGAGGCCCAGAGGGCGGAGCTGGTGTCTCGCCTGCAGGAACTATTGCGCTCCCATTGGACGGAAGCACTCAGGCTGCTGGCCAATCAGAACCAGGTCTGGGATGGGTGGGAGGGTCTTACCAGATAATCATCATAGCTGCTGGGTAAAAGTGCTGAATCAATGTTGAATAATTTTCTTCATATACTGGTAATTTAAATGATGTATAATACAGATGGTTGGCAGGAGTAGCGTTCTGGAAATGCCCATGTATTTCAAACTCTTCTGATTTTAAACACATTTTTTTCTTATTAGTTCCTTATTAGAAAAAAGAACAGCACAATTATTCGATTTTTGCAGCATAATTTAAAGGAAAATATTCTTAAGGAAATATGGCAATGCTTTAACCCAGGGGTGGGGAACCTGTTCCATGGAGGGCCAGTGTGGGTGCAGGTTTTTGGGATGGCCTCTCAATCAGCCAATAATAAAGCAGTGGTTCTGAACTGCAGTCCTGGGGGCCCACTGTTATTGGCTGATTGAGAGGCCATCTCAAAAACCCGCACCCACACCGGCCCTCCATGGATCAGGTTCCCCATCCCTACTTTAAGCTGATGTCAGATCAGAACCGGCTGTGTTATATGCTGTCTGTACCATATAAACGTAAATCATGTCAATCATGTTTGGTATTTGAGCATGAGTGTCCCCCACTGCCTGTTCGCTCTCAGGTGGGGCCCCCCCCCTCACCCCCTCCAAGCAGCAGGGTGGAGCTGCCGGTGATGTCGGACCGGGAGCTGGATCAGGCCGGCTCATTGTTACAGCATGTGCCAGGTATGGGGGGGGGGGGGGTGCGTGTGCGGGGCTGGGGCAGCGTCGGGCCCTGTGTGACGTCTCACTGATTTATCCTGCCCCCTCCCCTCCCAAGACCCCCACCAAGACCCCTCACAGCCCCTTGAGTTCATGATGTCCAGGGAGACGCCTCACACGAGACTGGAGTCACCCCCCCACAAAGCTCTTGGCTCTCGCGCCCCCCAGCCGGACCTGAGCAGCCTGTTTAACCACAGCAGCTCCTTCTGCCCCCTGGAGCCTCAGTTGGATGACACAGCGATCACAGGTCAGCCCCCCCTCCCCCATTAAACAGAAGCCAACAGTGCACCAGTCTGAGCCTCCCCCCACTGAACCCTAGATTTTATTGAGGGAATGTGATTGGTGTGATTGGATTCCAAGGTGCGTGACGTCACGTCCGACAATCTCCTGTTCCAGCTACCACATCTCGGAACAAACATGGCTGCCTCCATGAACACGCTGTTGTGTGTTGTTAACTTTATATTTTAGCAGATTTGGAATGAGATTATTTTTTCAGAGACAAACAAGAAACACAAACTAATCAAACCACATTAAAAGCTTTATCAAATATTTTAGTACATTCATAGCGATATTCCTTTTTCGAGAGGCAAACAAACTACAAACAAACAAAAGACACTAACAAGTCTGGTAGAAAGCTGACATTGCATACTAGGATACTGTTTATGCATGATATGGCGTTCTCCAAGTCAAACACGTGCAATTACATTTATAACTATTAATACATTTAACAAAATAAACATTTTTAAATATTTAGAAAATAGAATTATTGTTGACTGTATAACAGGGGAAACTCGGACAACGAAATTCTGTCTGACATCAACGTCATAAAAGAGGCGTGTTTCCGACGGGAAGTGACGTTTTCATCCGAGTTCCGACTCGGAGAGAGATATGGATAATGACTTTACTTTAGTAGGTGGGGGGGGGGGGGCGGATGCGGGCAGATGATGAGTGTAAGCACAGCAAAGCCCCGTGGGATCTCGAAGCCAGCCTTCAGATCCTCTTATCGCTTAATTTTCTTATGTGTCTTATGTGCTTCAGTTATTGATTAATTTATATGTTTGTTTGACAAATGCATCTTATTATTGCAGAGTCCCTTTATACTGATGTAAAGTGGCAGGATGTAAATATGGGGGACACACCATATAAATATCATGCTTTAAACCGGTCTGGCAACACGGCCTTTTGTACGCATCTGTCTGCCACAGCCATATGGGCCTTGCTTTCTCCCCTTAGTGCCTCTGATCCACTTAGAGCTTCGTAAGCAGTGGCTCTCCCCACCTTCAGCTGCCGCAGGAAGATATCGCAAGCAGATCTGTCTGCTCCAGTCAAGCGCCCCCTCCTGTCTGCTCATAGAATCGCGAGGGCTAATCAATTAAATCGAGAACATTATTCAGGAGGTCTTTGGTGTTGTACTGTAGAGGGCTTTCAGTGTAATCATACATGTCAGCATCCTGGAAAACCTAGTGAATCCCAGCATAATGAAACAGATACAATTAATAAATAGGACTGTTTAGATGCCATTCCATCAATCATTTTCAGCCTCATATTCAAGATATTTTCATTTTGTATTATTTTTAGTAAATAATTATAACATTTATAAAGATAAAGTATTGGCATTTTTTTCTGATTCTGTAGATTCAGAATTTGGTCAAAATGGACCGCTGCTGTTACCTGGGACCAAATTAGCGGGCGCTAAATGTGGCCCAGGGTTAACGTGCTTACAGGCTTAGGCGCTGTCCCTGCCAAAGGCCCTTTCGTGATTAATCTCTGTGGCCGGTATGTTTCCCAGCCCCAGTACTGCCTCGGGGCCACAGTTACGTGAATCACTCTTCAGGATCAAACATTAGGACGATTCTGTCAGTGACGGAGGTCAGTGTGTCATTCGATTGGATGTGTGCAGGCTGGGTCACTCTTTGTATTTGATTAAGTTAATGTAGCATTTCTCATGCAGCTCATGTGTTTGACAGTTAGTACAAAGGCCCAGAGGTGGCAGTGTAGAGCCACCCGGGCTTATAGGGCCGGCTGGCTGACCGGAGGAGGCGTCATGGCCTCTTTACTCTGCTTGTATCCTCAGCTGGAGGCTGTGACCTGGAGGAACTTTGCGAGAAACCCCTGGCCAAAGAGAGGCATGCAGCTCCAGGGCTGGAGCGAGGGCTTCCATGGAAGGGCAGAGAGAACAGGAGGCCTGCGGGGGTCCATGACATGGAGAGCGGCAGAGAGGAGCGCTCTGGGGACAGAGTGACCCGGGATGCCCGCTTGTCCTCCCTCCAGGGGCAGGCCGGTTACCATGGAGACGGAGGCAGACTGAGTCAGACAGGGTACTGTGCAGAGGGGGGTGTCTCTCTGGGAATCAGCACAGAGAGGGACAGACATTTGGGGGGGAGTGGACACAGTGCCCCTAGTGGCAGGGAGGTTGTTTCGCAGAAGGATACCAGGCTGGACCTGAGCGTAGGTAGTGTGGTGGCACAGGGCGAACACCACGCCGGACTGGAGCACTACAGGTCGGGCGTCCTGGGTTACAGCTCATGGGGGCCACAGCTGGGAGAGAGTGGGGGGCCCAGGTCCAATTGGGGGGCCCCTGAAGGTACCCAGTACAACACTGCACTGGGAAGTGGTTTAGAGCGTGTAGTGATTCCCGGTCATTCTGGCACCAGCCAGTACCTGGAGAGGAGTGCAGAGAACCAACCAGGGACCCCAGCACATACAGGCAGGCCGGGGGGGCAGGACGAGTACAGACAGGCCCAGCTGCAGTACTACATCAGCAAGGTAAGCTTGCCTGTACTGCACTTCACACACAGATAAGGCTGTCTGTGCCACGCAGCATGTCTGCCTGTGTTTTCTGTATGTAGTAATCCCTGTGCTGTTCCATGTTCTTGATCTGTGTTGGATGTTCTGCGATTGATTGCTTTGTGTGCCTCCCCCCAGCTGCTGGATCGCTGCCCTGGCGAGCCCCTGGATCTGCCCATCTCGGGCAGCGGGCATCACTCTGTGACATCTGGTTCCGGCCCAGCTCAGACCGGTATCTCTCCCCCGTACCTTGGCGGGTTCTGACTCCCCTAGTAGGCTATGGGTGCTGTTAGCAGCCCACTGGAACTACAACTTTCTGCTTCGGCTCCAGGTCTGCAGGCACCCTGGGAAGGTGAGGGTGACCCTCAACCCCCGGCGCCCCCCATGGTCACCCTCAGTAGACCCCTGTCTTTGGCCGTCACCAAAACCAAGCTGCGAGCCTCTCCCCCGTATCAGCAGTCGGCCGGCAGGCCTGAGTCCGGTCCCCTCCCTCAGAGTGGTAAGGGCGTGCACCCCGCAGATGCCGGCCCATGGGGGGACGGCTTGTGTGCACAGGTAACCTGATCCCTGGGTCTCCCCACAGACTCGGACCCCACCAAAGGCTCCCTGGCCGGGCAGCAGCTGGCCCAGGTCACGCGGCTCCTGTCGGAGTACCAGGCCCAGCCGGATTCGGCCATGCCCTCTCTGGAGAAGCTCCTCGCCCAGCTCCTCTCCGCTCAGGCCGACAGCGCTTCAATACAGCACCTGCAGCAGACCCTGACTGAACAGAAGGAGGTGAGACTGGTCATGTGACCTCTTGGCCGTCACTTCCTCTCACATGTCCTGTGACAGACACTCCTTTTGCCATACCACAGGTCGGCATGATGGCTATGCGGAGGAGAAGCCAGCCCCAGCGGCCCACGGAGGGAGGCAGGAGCCAGGGCCAGGGCCCCAGGGGCAGGAGAGGCGGCCCCCAAGCCCACAGGGCATCTGTCACCCGGGGCAGCGCGTGGAGGTGACAGGGGACAAGAAGCCACCTCTGGAGGAGGCGGGCAGCTCTCAGCGTTTTCCGTTTGCTCACGTGCCAGAGCTTCCAGATGGTTCTGTGCTGGTGGAACTGGTGCATTCTTGGGAGCTGCTGATGCTGTGTGCTACGCAGAGGGAACAACAACGGATTTAAAGTCAACTTTGTCACTGCGCAGCCTGGACTGAAAGACGGCTAAATCGAGATGAAATCAACAGCCTGCTCTTTTAACCAAAGTTTTAAAACAAACCTTTTGTTACATGCTATATGTCTTTGATTTTTTTGTACAGATGTCTCTTGAAGATCGCATTGTGCCATGCAGTCATTAAAGGTCTAGTTTTCCTACATGTGGTTGTCTTTTGTGTAGTCTTGTAACCATCTGCATAAAACTTCCAGTCCTGCAAGATCCCTGCATTTCCTTATATGCCTGTGTGTCTGTGTCTGTGTGTGCATGTGCACTTATGTGCTGGTAATTGATACATATGGTTGTGTCCTGTTCTCAAGTGAACAAGGGCTGAAAAAGCATTTCAGTTTGCACCATGAAGGCTCTGCAGTCAGCTGTGCTGATCCTTGCTCAGTGTTTTTCAAGGTCACATATAACTCTCACCCTTCTCTTACAATGGACATTTAAATAGCTGATGTCAAAATCAAAGGATTTTCTTTCTTTAATCATTGTAACTTTAATAAAAGCTGTACTGTGTCAACTGCTTGTGCAGGGATGTTTTTTGGTAAAATCACATTACAGTCACACCTGGGAAAAATCTTGAAATCTGGAAAGCACTGGTGTCCAGATTGGACAGAGCAGTACTACATAGGTTTGCAGCAGGCACGCATACAGCCCCATATTCTAAGTGGCTAAGTGGCTTAACGACTAATGAACTCAGAGGTGATCTTTGGCCTGTACTTCCCTCGTCCTCTCGCTCTCTCTATCTCACACACACACCCTCTCTCTCTTTGTATTGTAGGGTTGTAGGAATATACATAACTTCTCCATCCTCATCCCTTGCTCTGGGACTGGTCCCCAGGAGGAACTACAGGTCACAGTAGAGAATTTTTAGGAGACCCCCTATGAAGCGGAAGTGAAAAGAAATCTGGGATATACGGCGTGATGCGTAATTTTGACATATTGAATTTTTTTTCTTTTAATCTGATTCTAGAGCCCGTGAATTCTTGTCAACGCGACGAGGACAAAATGTCTTTTCTTGGTTATTTGTTCCAAGGGCTGGTTTTCAGGATATGTAACTGGTGTACTATTTCCATGTGACTTGTACCCGTGTTTCCCACCTGCTGCGATTGTAATAGCCTTTCTCCAGCATCGGCTTCCCAAGCATCAGGAATATCGGATGGTTGAGAAAGCAAGCTAAATGGGTCTCAGGGCTGCTGGAAGATAGACCCCCCCCCCTCACACCCCCCAGCCAGCCTGGGATCGCCCACCTCATGCAGCAGACGTACGGCTGGCCACCCGCTGAGGCTTTGCACTGACGGTTTGTGCCATTTAACATCTTTCTGTAACTTTGATTCTCCATCTCCCTCCTGTTCACTGTGGTCTTGCTTCTCTTCCTTAGTTTATTGCATATAATTTCTTTTCCTTTTGTGTCCTAGATTTTTCCTCTATATGATTTACTGGTCAGTGCAAAAAATAATCCCATGCAAGCATCATCAACACAAAGATATAAGTCAATGACATATTACTCTATAATATTTATCTAACACTGACCAGAGATCAGGAAATGTGTGTAGTAAAGACAGCAGGGATGACCTACAGGCAGCTATGCAGAGCGATGATGTCACCACCCACCACCACATTGAAGTGCTCGCATGTCCTTCAAATATCAGCTGTTGATCACTGTTTGAAATTATTTACTTTACTTTAATTATTTATTATTTATTACTTTATTTCAGACCGGTTACACCAGTGCTTACCTGAAGTCCCCATATCATCTAAAACCAAGCTTCTGCTTATTACCTATTATCTCACACTTGCGGCTGTCCCCAAAGCCTTGCCGATCTTACCAATGTTGAAACCAGTCAGTAAGTTTTTCCCTCAGGATTTTAGTGTTCTGTGATTCATCAAACCGCATCTACCTACATGCAATGTATATACTCAAGCAGATCCACCACCTTCACTGCGTGGTTCTGATGAATTAGATGTCGCATCTGCACTTCGTTATAAGTATTGTTAAGCATATTGTTACAATAGTAATTTGATCTGAGACTTTCAAAGGTGATGCAATAGATGTGAATGCCCCTCTGCTATCAGACATAGTAATACCTTTTCCAGTAGGGTTTGTATGAATTACACAGCACCCTCAGTAGTGTATTTGTTAATCAGCAATCAAACAAGGACTGGCACAGACGCTGGTAAAGATGGCGGCTTTTGCTGACTGTGTAGTAATCCCATTGGTTGGATATGATGTACTGCCTTACCTGGCACTGGTCTATTTTTGGGTGGTTGGGGATGAGGGAACCAAGACTACCCTGTATCTCTGAACCTGCTTCATTACCTCTCTCTCTCTCTCTCTCTCTCTCTTTTTCTCTCACTGTTTCATGTAACTGATCTACTAGGCTGGTTCATAAGCTAACATGGTACGTAAACCATCATGGACATCCATATATTTAATACTGTTGAGACTCTACCTGTATAGGATTGTGTGCATGTGGGTAATATGTATAGAATATCAGAATGCGGCCCCTCGCCTGGTTACAATGGGGTTACATTCCAATAAACCTATCATAAGGCGAAAATGCATGTTACTACGGTACAACTAACCTAACAAACATCATAGCCTAGCCTAGCCTACCTTAAAAACATGCTTAGAACACTTACATTAGCCTACAGTTGGACAAAATCATTAACACAGGATCTATTTAATAATAAAGTATTGGATATCTCATGGAATTTATTGAATAATGTCAAGTCGAAGTATCGTAACGCTGACCATGGTAACCCAGGCAACGTCTGAATAGTTATTCTGTTTTTAAGTCCCCTCACAGGTCCTGTTACATTGTGACGTGCACCTGAATTTTACTGAGTGAGCCCAAAATTAAGACAAATTTGTGCCTCTGGCTGGAGCAAAAGATTTAAGAAACTTAACTCAGACTTGGTGTCAAGGACCAACAGTCATTTTGGTTTCAGGTCATTAATAACATTAGGCTGCCTGATGTCAGCAAACTGCAGTATTTGCAGTGCTAGGCAAACACGTAACTTCCTGCACCATACAGACATCCTGACCAATCACTCTGTGTGCTCTTAATCCAACACATATGCCTGTTTCTGCTTTTCTGTTCCCACTGGGGCTTCGCATCTAGTCATGGTTAATGGGCAGTTCTCCTGTTTCATATTGTTACATCTTGGATTTTCTGGACTGATAGTCTGTTTGAAACTTTGGGAGAAGTTATAGACATATCTGCTGAAAGGTCGTTGTTTTGCAGCTGCTGTGGGGTATAGCCTGTTGTCCCTGTTCTATATGTATTATAGTCATTGTGTCTGAGACTTTTCGGCTTTCTGCATATTAAAAAATCATAAGGTGATTTTGATCATTTGTTCCAGTGTAACTTTTATCCCCTGCATATCATTTAAAGTCTGGAGATGTCGAACCTTTCTATAGCAATTCTACTCAGGTATAGTCTGAAAGGGTTATTTGTGCCTCTTGAGTGTTCAATCACATGACCCAGCTAAACCAATTAATGTTGGGATTGGACTAATTTAGGGCTTCTTGCAGTTCTGGGAATGTAAGTAATCTAAAGACAGCTGGGAATTCACATGAGGAAAAGCTGACAGAAGAGCCTCTGCACTGTCGAAGACTGGGGACAACAGAGCCACATAAGCCATTTAGACAGAGGTTTACTTTTTACAAAGAATTCACAAACAAATGAACATTACCGTTTTAGCTTTCAACAAAATACTATTATGTATTGATCAGAGAATAACTTGCAATTTGGGTTGGTGGTTAATCAGGGCCTGACTTTCTGACCAAACAGAACTGCGTGTGAGAGTGCTTTCTGGGAACAGCTATGGAGCAAATGGTTGGCTTGATGATTGTAATTACTGCCAGCTGGACCATGAATGTGATACTTACTGGATATTTAATGATAGATGCCTACCTTTGAATGATGACTTTTGGTATTTTTGGATGATGTGGATAGTGAATGTTGGAGGGTAGGTAGTTGGCTAGTTGGTTGTTCAGTGATGTCAGTACTTGTACTTTTTGACTTGTTAGAAGATGAATGCTGGAACATAGCCATTGGTTGGAGGATGTTATTATATTGGTATTTGTTCGATGTTAGTATTTGGATGTTGATAACTGGATAGTATTATTCGTTATCTATTGGTTGAGTGATGGATTTTGAGATCTGCTATCTGGTGATAGATGTTGGTATTTGTTTGATGTTAATAGTTGTTGGCTGGTGGAGAATAGACTTTGGTACTTGCTTGATGTTCATACTTGTATGGTGAATGATAGATGTTTACATTTTTTGGATGGTGAATAATGGATATTGGTTCCTGCTGACTATTGGATAATGAAAGCTGGTAATTGTTACTTCTTGGATGATGGATGTTAATCCTTAGGTCAATATGAATTGCACACCCTAATGTATAGCCCAAGCATATAACAATTTTCTTGTTACTCTTCGTTTGAAATTAGTTTTTTCTCGTTCTTCCGCTCCGAACACTTAATTCTGAAGAAGCCAACACTTTCTCTCTGCCTTGGCTGCAATTTGTTGAAGGACTAACAGGCTTGTGTGATATAAAAGGAACCTCCTCTTAGCTTATTATAGGATGTCAGTGTATTTTTGTAACCTATGGTACATGGCTGTGGTGTTTGTCCTTATTACAACCTCTCTCCATCTTAAGGTCCTCATTTCACACATGGATTTGAGCACGGAGATGGAATGTCCAGACCTGAGATGCTTTAGTTTGTCCTGGGGGCACAAGGGAGAGTAGCGAATTGCTCCCACACAGCACCTGTTCCCAGAGCAACCCCGTGCCTCACCCCTAGTGCAGTGTTCCACAGCTGAACCATGGCGCCCCACTCAGGATCCTGCTGGTACTGCATCCTCTCCCATCACCCACGGTGGTATGGGCCACCTTCCAAGACCAGGGTGTGGGATGTGTGTCAGTCAGGACCAAGTTGGGGAGTCGTCTTGGGGGCCATCAGCATGCCATTGGTGCAGCACTCTCACAGAGGGTGGGGTTTCTGGGTGTGGCTCCCCCTGCTGGCTGTAGCCTTATTGCCCTACCCTGCCTGGACTGCCACTTACAAGGTGGCCATTGTAGGGCCTTGGACATGCGATCCTCTGTATTCCAAAGCTCTACCTGAACAGGCGGCTCGTTTGGCCACCAGCC